GTCCCAAAGAAGTTGGATCCAAGGAGGAACACACCAAGGCACATCATAATTACATCAGCCAACATTAAAGTTAGAGAAAATCTTAAAAGCAGCAAGAGAAAAGGAGACAGTTACCTACAAAGGAGTGCCCATAAGACTATCATCTGATTTCTCAAAAGAAACCTTGTAGGCAAGAGGGGATTGGAAAGAAGTATTTGAAGTCACGAAGGGCAAAGACCTGCATCCAAGATTACTCTATATAGCAAAGCTATCATTTAGAATGAAAAGGCAGATAAAGTGCTTCCCAGAAGGTCAAGTTAAAAGAGTTCATCATCACCAAACCCTTATTGCATGAAATGATAAAGGGACTTATCTAAGAAAAAGAAGATGACCCAAAATATGAACAGTAAAATGACAGCAAACTCACAGTTATTAACAACTGAACCTAAAACAAAAACAAAAATAAACTAAGCAAACAACTAGAACAGGAACAGAATCACAGAAATGGAGATCACATGGAAGGTTATCGGTGGCATGGGGAGGAGGAGAGAGGGGGAAATGGTACAGGGAATAAGTAGCATAGATGGTAGGTAGAAAATAGACAGGGGGAGGTTAAGAATAGTATAGGAAATGTAGAAGCCAAAGAACTTGTATGTATGACCCATGGACATGAACTAAAGTGAGGCAATGCGGGTGGCAAGGAGTGTGCAGGGCAGAGGGGAATAAGGGGGGGGGGGAATGGGACAACTGTAATAGAATAATCAGTAAGATATATTTTTAAAAAAGAAAACAGGCTTCATAGGGACTGCTCACCCCTTCCACCATGTGAGAACACAGAAAGTGCTCGCTATGAACCTGGTAGAGAGGGTCCTCACCAGAAGGTGACCACCTTGATTTGGACTTCCAAGATTCCAAATCATGAGAAACAAACGTATATTTTATATAAGCTACCCACTCAGTGTTATGTTATTATAGCAGCCTGAACAGGCTAAGGCATGTGTTAGATAAATGGATAAATCAGATATGGGACTGGGATGATTCTCAGGTTTTAGTTGGGTGATTGGGTGGTGCCATTTATCAAAAAGCCACAGGAGAGAAGCATAGCCAATGGGGAAGATATGGGGGCAGCATGGACAAGTTGAGTTTGAGGTGTGCTTGAGACATTCAGGTGGAGATGTTAAGGAACAATATGAAACTGAATTTCCTAAGTCTGGGCTGCAGATAGGAATGTGGTGGTCATCACTGTATAGACTGCTGGTTAAACAGTGTAAGCTCATGAGACCATGCTGGGAGTAGCAAACGAAAGGTGAGGCCAGAACAGAACACTGGGGAAATCAACATATTGGAAGATAGAGGGAAAAAGAACTGAAGAAGACAAAAGAGATGGTCAGTGAGGTAGGCAAGCCAAGAAAGGAAGAGATTTTGGAAGCCCTTAGAACACAGCCTTATCCATGTAACCACTGTATATAATAATTATTATTATTATGTATATAACCATTAGGTCTGTAACCATTATGTATATAATATATGTCCTTAAATCTATTGATATTTTTCCTAAAGTGTATTTGTTTATAAGAGAAATTTATATTATCCATGAAATCCTGGATTCACTACACTGGGTACCTATTTTAATATATATTAAATATATAACTTTTAAAAAAATATTATTTCTCTACCCTCTGAAGTCACCTCATGAGGTGTTAAGAGCACAACAGTGATTGGACACTTGTTCAGTGGAAGAGGCAAGGGAGTGAAACACTTACAGGAGGTGGTAAAAGGAAAGTTCCAGTAATTGCTTATAGTGTTACAAGCTGATTGGCTAAAGGAGGAGGCTGAAAGGAGTAGAGATTTGGGTCAAATAACGGGACACAGAGGCTTATAATCTCAGACAGAGGATTTTTAGGGGTAGGAGGAAGGCAAGGTCCAGGTGGCTGAAGAGAAAGGGATGCTAATGTCACTGAATTAAGAAACCCAAACCTTGAAAGGCTGGGGATAAAATGAGCAGTCCTCACTGGCAGCCTGTCAGCATGCTGGCTAGCACTGTAATGGAAAACTTGAGAGCCCTTGGCCCAAAGATATCTAGGAATATGGGGCAAGTGGCCAAGAAGTTAGGTAGTGGTGGAGATGAAAAAAATGAAGTCAAGAGAATGATAAAGGAGGAGCATTTTCACATAAGGTAGAGATAAAATAGTAGCCCGGAAGAGACAGTGTGCAGCCAGGCAGTGCATGGGGCTGGGCAGAAAGAGCAGTCTCCATTAGAGGGAGTTTCAAGCAAGAGGTAGGACTTGGTGTTCTGTGAAGAGCTGGTGGCAGGGCTGGGGGGAGGGGGGCGGGTTATACTAAAATATACTTCCAAAGGTCCAAAGGCAAAGAGTTGGGAGGAAAAGAAGCAGGAATCAAGAGCCAGTCTAGAGGAAGCGAAGAATACTGTGGACAAAGATGGTGGTGCCAAAGGGCTCAAGGAACAAGGGTGGAATGGGGTTACTGCTAAGTGCCACTCAGTCACCTCCAAACCACAGGAAGAAGCAGGAATGTGCCGTTTAAGAAAACAGAGTTCCTGGGAACAAGAGGTGTCTATAGGAGAGCTGCCTTGCCTTAAGTAAAAAAAACCCTGAGCTGGTTATTTTGGGGAAAATTACAAGACTTCTAGGGAAGAGAAGCCCCAAACCCTCAGCTTTTTTGGTTTATAGGGAATAATCTTCCCATCGCTCACTCCTGATTCAATTTTCCCTCTGTAAGGCCTAGGACCAAGAAGGCTCCGAATGAAGGTCAAACCAGCCAGAGGAAATCCAGTGTATTGTCAAAATGCCTATAATTTCTCCCAACTGAACAGCAAGGGGCAGCAAAGAGCCAAAAAGGAAGCTGAGCACATACAGGAGCCCAGAAATAGTAAAAATGGAAAATAAACTAGCCTTCTGAAATCATACCATGCTCCCACGGTATGATGTTGTATTATACCTCTTACAATGTTGCATTACAATGGTCCATCTTCTCCCATAGATGAGGAGGGAAGACTCCCAACCTGATGTGGTTAGGAGACAGACAACTGTCTTTTAGGACAACTTGGTGTGGGGAATCAGTACTGGTTTGGGAGGGAAACTAGGCCATCTTTGAATCTGGGCTGTGAGCAAGGTACCTAACATTTCTGACCCTTGATTTTCTCCTTCATAGAAGGAAGATTTTTCACCAGGTTGGATGTGATGAAAAAATACTTAAAACACACCTAGCACACTATCTCACAAACAATAAACAGTAAAAAGAAAACATTGACATTCATACTATTATTATTATTATAGCCTCTTCTCAGGGTCAGGCACCAAAGGAGAGGGGGAAAAAATCACTAACAGTAGGAAATAAATAGAAATTAAGACTTGGAATTCCTATGTCCTCAGCTCAGTTTCCCTGAACACTGCAGCAATAGATCCAACAGAAGGCACAGTGGAATCAGCCATGTCTAGAAGGTGCTGCTTCCTAGATAGTTTGTTGGAAGGAGAGCAGGGAATGCCTGCTTGGTATTTTCTATGTCAGACTAGTCTAGGTCAGCTACCTGACAGATTTTTATAGACACCTCAGAGTACAAACACGTTTAACTAACAGCCACGTGTACTTTGGCCAGAATGTGCATCACACCCCTTAGAAACCAGCAAGGAGTGGTGGGGATCTAGAACTAGCTCTGGGACAGCTGCCTGCCTGGTGCCCTTCAGAATTAATCTAGCTCTAAGATTAAAGTATTATTACAAAATTATTTCCTGTGCCACAGGGAACAGATAAGAGAAATGACAGAGGTCTCCCAGCTACTGGAACTTCAGACTTCCCTTAAAGTTCAGAGGGAAAAATAGTGAATTTAAAGCAAATTAGAAGTTAAGATCTCTTTGACAGTGTGAGACCCCAAGTGGCTGCACAGGGTAAAAACTATCTCAAAGAATATTTAGATAAGTCCTAAGAATATGAATTGATACAAACCATGCACAGGAACACATCACTGGACTGGCAGTAGCCATCATGGACAGCAATGCCCATCCTCCAACATGTTCCTGGATTGACTGGTCCTTGACACTACCCCATGCCAGAGGTTCTTAAGATTTGCCAGAATTCCTGAGTTAGAGGAAGCACACTTCCAAACCATCTTCCAGTGGGCTCAAGGGCCCATGTGGCCTCACATCATTTTTAATGCAACAGAAATAAAATCCTTGTTGCCTGGGGTGAGGTAGGGAGGGTTGATCTCCCAGAAAACTCCCAGCAACCAAAATAAAGGGGCTTATAGCTAAGACTAGAAGAGGCTATCCAAGTATATGCCTTACAGGATGGTAAGAATAATGACAAGTAGCTGCTCTCACACTCAGTATAAAAGGGATAGGAATTTCCCTTCCCTTTTGTTTACTATACAATAGAGGGAGGGGATAATTTAAGGGGCATTATAAGATCACAAATCAGCCTCTATTGTACGCCAACTCTCCTAGGTTGGTGATCTCTCCCACACGACCAAATAAAGGTCTTCCATAGTGTATTTTGCATAAAGGTCAGTGCTTTCACCTGCCTCTTCCCTCAATCCCATAATTCTACAGTCCCAGGACTTCTTGCCTCTTTCAGTATCTTCTTTGGTTCTGATAGAATGAATATAGTGAGCAAGAGCACAAGGTCTGTCTATTGAGAGGGCCAAGTGCTTCCTTCTCTTCCTCCACCCCACACTGTACACTGAGGCAATAGGAAGGCACAAGCACAAGTGAGTGGCAGAGTGTGGGAGATTCCATGCAAACCCAAACAACCACAGTCAGAGTCCAAGGCGTAGCCCTTGGTACAGACAGTCATCAGCACCAACCTCACTGACAGAGGATGGTTCAAAAAAGCCCCTGTCCATGCCCATTTCCCACTGCCTGGTATCTGACATAAAGAATGCTACAGAAACTAAGCCAGACAGCACCGCAAGATCCTTGTAGGCACCCAAGATGCTGTGACTCCCCAAAACAGAAGGGAGCATTTAGGTATTAGGGTAGGACAGGGGTATGCTTCACTGGTCTTACCTCCTTTCCAAAGCAGATAGATGGGTACCACATAGAGCATAACATGCTGAATGTAGTATATCTCCAATTCAAAGGGGAGCTGCAAGGACATGAGGGAGAGGTGTTTTAGAGCAGGAACCACACATTTCAACAGATTCATAACTTGAATGCTCTTGCTCTTTACAGCCCATGTCTTAGCAACCCCATGCATTTCACCAGTTCACCACCTTCACAATCATACCAAAAAAAAAAAAAGACTAAAATGAATATACTTATGACCTAGGCTGGCATCTTCCAAAGTGTATTTGCAGAGATGATACTTGAAAAATTCCAGTAAGAAAGTTGCTTATCCCTTAATTTCTGGCTGTAAAAACCAGTAGGGATTGTGGCTGAGAGAGATGGAGGGCTTCTGAAGTACTAAGTGGTTCCTCTTTTTTGTTTTTTAAATTGAATATCTTTTCCATTTTTTAATGTTTTAAATTTATTTTTATCACTTTTTAAAGTTTCTTTACATCACCTTTTAGTCCCCTTATACCCCCTGCCCCCAACAATGACCACACTGTTTTCCATGTCCTTGAGTCCTTTTTCTTTTTTGATCAATCCCTCTACCCCCTAACCATCCCCTGACTAGTGCCTGCAGACAGGCTTACTAAGACTCACTCACTCTGAGCTCCAGCACCAGGACAGCAGTTTGAAAGGAACTAGGCATATATGGGGAGGAACTGAATTATCTGGCATCAGGGCAAAAACTGGGGGAGTAGTTTTCTGCCAGACAAAAGTGCTGGTGCATTGTTCCTTTCCTGAGATAACCCATCCATCCCCCAAAAGAGCCAGCAGGTGGATGCCACATCTGAGTCTCCATCAACCTGGCTCACACTGTTCCCCACACCTTGGTGATTCCCTGAGACCCCACCCCACCCTACTTGCAGGCCCACCAAAGCTGTTTCCAGCAGCTTTTCAATATAAATGGCAAGTTACAAGGTAAGAGAAAACACTGAATCAGAACAGCACATAGGAAAACGAATTTTAAAAATGAGCAAAGTGTAAGGAGGCTCTGGGAGAATATTGAGTGCACCAATATTAGCATCATGGGGATGCCAGAAGGAGAAGAGACAGAGAGCAAGAAATTGAAAACCTATTTAAAGAAATAATGACTAAAAACTTCCCTAACCTAGTTAAGGAAATAGACTTATAATTCCAGGAAGTGCAGACAGCCCCAAACAAGATGAACCCAAAGAGACACACATAAAGACATACCACAATTCAAATGCAAAAGGTTAAAACAGAATATGAAAAAAAGCAAGAGAAAAGCAATTAGTTACCAACAAGGGAGGCTCCATAAGACTGTCAGCTCATTTCTCAACAGTAACTTTGCAGGCTAGAAGGGATTGGCATGAAATATTCAAAGTGATGAAAAGCAAGGACCTATAGCCAAGATTCCTCTACCCAGCAAAGATATTTAGAATCAACGAGCAGATAAAGAGCTTCCCAGACAAGACAAAGGAGTTCATCACCACCCAAATAGTATTACATGAAATGTTAAATGGTCTTGTTTAAGAAGAAAAGGAAAAATAAGAGATTAAAAATATGAACAATAAAATGGCAATAAACACATACATATCAACAATCGTATTTAAACAAAAAAATAAATGAACCAGCAGAACAAAAACAGACTCATACATACAGAGAACATTTTGACAGTTGTCAGATGGGAGGGGGGTTGGGGGATGGGTGAAAAAGGTGAAGGGATTAAGACATAGAAATTGGTTGTTACAGAATAGCCATGGGGATATAAAATACCGCATAGGGAATATAATCAGTAATATTCCAATAATTTTGTATGGTGTCATATGGGTACAAGATTTACTGGGATGATCACGTAGTAAGTTATGTAATGTCTACTCACTGGAGTGCACACATCAAACTAATATAATATTGTACATCAACTCTGATTTAAAAATAACAAATGATCTAAAAAGATAGCACCTGGGTGGTCTCTACAATTACAAAAATCTGCTTAGTATTGTTTATCCAGTCTATTCCAAACTTAGTTAGCCAGTGCCTTTTAAAAAATAACACACAGTATTCTGCAGAATATGCTGGAAGAAACACAACCTTATGTCAATTCCTGTTCCTGATAGTAGCTGGTGAGATATTTAAAAGCTTATTTATCATTTGACATGAAGAACATATGAAATAGGATTTATTATTCCTAATTTCCAGATGCAAAAAAGAATGCTTGCTAGAGCCAATGTCATCTAGATCCAAGAATAAAGAGTTTCCCCACTGCATATTTGGGGTCAGTCCAGAGTTAGCCCTACTTTTGGGTGAATACCAAGCAACTGGGCCAATACTTTTTTGTCATAGGTTGCCAAAAAGTAGTCCCCTATCTCTGTCCACCCTACATGCTCATTCATTCACTCCTGTTTCCCATCTCCTTCTCATAATGGAAGCTCTGGATTACCAAGGCAGAGCACAGTTTTAAGCTAGCATGTGCACCATGCTGTAGACCCTGGCAGTGGGAAGAGAATGGAAATGGCTAGGTGACTAACTCAATTCCAGCAGCTGGCAAGAGGCATGGCCTCCAGGTTTACACAGCCCTCAACACCCCTCTCAAGGGGAAGCCCAGAGAAACAAGGACACCCACGGGAAGGATCAGATACTTACTTGTTCCCTACAGAACACACACAGAAGCAAGGCTTTGTGCTAATGAGATGAAGCATTTATGGGTTCCCTAGGCCCGGGAGCCCACACCTGCCTTGTGCCAAGAGCTGAAACTGAAAGATGGCAGAGCTACCAGAATGGGAGCTGGGAGAACTGTGGATCCTGGGCAGATACTGGCTCTGGTTCTTGAAAATAAAAACCCACGCAGAAGGGAAATTTCCCATGGATACAGATGATGCTTAACTTTTATATTCACAGAGGAAAATGTAAAGTCCCAGAAAAACAGATAGGTTCAAAGCATCTTTGTAGACTGTAATCGAATAGCTGGAAAAAATCACAGGGTTTGACAATGGGCATCACAAGCAAGAGGTAGTTATGGAGGCTTGAGAAGCCCATACTGTACCCTCATAATAATGTGGTCTTGGATCACCCTACTATCTTAAATTTCAGTACTGATTCATGCTTTTTCAAATGTTTTTACATCCATCAACTCAATCCTCTCAAAAACATCCTGAAATAGGGGGTAAAGTATCATTATCATTTGACAGATGAGGAAACTGAGATGCAAAAGGGTTAACTGGCTTGACGGTGATCACCCAGAAAACAAGTAACGAGGAAAAGGACCCAGGAAGGCTCAGTGCTCTGGCTATAATCTGAATTTTCAGGTACCTAAGGGACTTGGCATCTCCCTGAAATGGTCCTGGGAACCCAGACTGCTCTTGCGTAGCAAGAAGCACAGAACCGGGCCAAGGACCTGCAGACCATGTTCCCAGCTAGGTTGTCAAACAGTATCTCTGCTAGCCTTTCAGACTCTATTTACCTCACTGTACTCACAGTACCCACTTGCTTCTCCCTCCTCCTTGACAGCCCTCCTAGGAAGCAATCTGCCCACCTGCATGTACATCTTAGCACTATGGCTGCAAGTAAGGACTTTGAGTCTGTCAAATACGTGTTCTAGATTTGATTCTGCCACTTAACAGCCTTGTGGTCTCAGGTAAGTCTTTTAACCTCTCCACCCCAGTAAAATGAAGATAACTATGGCTGTTATAAGATTTCTAACTTAAAAAATACAACAATCATTTATATAGTACTTATTATGTGCCAGGAACTATTATAACCACTTAGTTAACTATTAATCCACATAATCCTTGTAACAACTGAGCAGCAGATACTCAAATAACATTGTTTCCTTCCATGCTGTTTTGTTATAAAGTTGATGAGATGCTGTAGGAATTTAACTCTTGTTTATATCAATTAGCTTGTGATAAAACTGGTTTTGTAATATGCCATTTTGCTTAAAGTTACAGAAGCTACTGATGAGGTTAAGTGAGGACTTACTATGCTGTTCCAAATATCACCATTTTATAGATTAGAAACTGAGGCATTCTGTAATATTGAGACAATACTACAAAAATATTGTAACAAACAAATTACAATATTTTTCATTTAAAGAGACAAAACTCTTGTCCTCAACAGTGTGGCTCAGTTAGTTGGAGCATCCTCCCATAAACCGAAAGGCTATAGGCTCGATGCCCAGTCAGGGCACATGCCTGGGTTGTGGGTTTGGCCCCTCGTCAGAGCTCATAGAAGAGGCAACCAACTGATGTTTCTCTCCCCCTCTCTCTCCCTCCATTCAACTGTCTCTAAAATCAATGAGCATGTCCTTGGGTGAAGATAAAAAAAGAACAAATGAGACAAAAATTCTTGATCCTACTTTCCCTTCTAGGTATCACCCCCATATCTCTGCTCCCCTTTATAGCAAAACTCTTCAGAACATTTGTCTGTCCTCATTGCCATCATTGCCTCTTCCCTATTATCCTTCTAGCCACTCCAATCAAATTTTCATACCCACCACTTCCCCTACATTGCTTTTACTGAGGTTACCAATGACCTCCACATTCCTAATACCAATGGATAATGAGGATGGAAGCTAGTCCCTATAGCATCTTTGTATGAATTTTAAATAGCTGTCCCTTCTCCATCCCCTTGCCAGGGTGTCAATTTTGGGTCTCTTCTTATTTGACCCATCAGCAGCATGTGATGCAGTTGATCATTCTCTCATCCTTAAAACACTTTCTGCATTGGGCATCCAGGTTATCACTCTCTGTTCTTCCCCTGCTTCAATGTCTCTCATTCTCAGTCTTCTTTGCTAAATCTTCCTTACGTTCCTTACTTTTAAATATTGGAGGGGACCAGAGCCAATTCCTTGAATCTCTTTTCCACATACTCTCACTCAAGGAATAACCTTTTTCAGGTTTCTGTTTCTAAATACCATCTATATACTATGACTCCCCAATGAATAGCTCTCATTTAGAGTTAGGCTGCTAAGATGGAAACTCTAGCTCCATTATTTAGTTGCTATGAACCTTTGGGAAAATCATTTAATCTTCCTCTGCTTCAGTTGGCTCACTTGTAAAATGGGAATAATAGTACGTA